TATAAGATACCGAATGCAAAAAGAACGAACCAAATATTTTGAAATCTGGAAGAGTAGTTAAGGCCGGCGGACGGGCGGACGGATAAAGTGGCCATAATAGCGTCTTCCCCAATTTGTACACAACCGGGTAATCCGTGTAACCACAATGCCCAGATAATCGAGTTTCCACTGTAATAATAGCCATTTACTTATTAATAACAATATTAAGCATTGAATCAGGGGCCCCCGATATCCCTCCTGTCCAGCCCGGGCCTGGACTAAATGTTCGTTAGCTGTTACACAAAACTGAATGAAGAAAAACCGACATTTTACAGTAAAGATCCCAAAATCGCTAACAGAAGGGGTGTAAATAACCAGATGAACCGAATGATTGTTTGATGTAGGAAGCAGGGTTCCAGAAATCGCCAAGAAGTTTGTTTGACAAGTAAAAAGAAATCTAAACTTGCAAAATCCATCAAAATCAGAAAAGGGGTGAAGATCTCGCTTTTACTAAATGATCCACTGATTATCTGCTTGCGAAATCAAAAACTATTGTGAATCTGGTAATATGTTGACGAAAAACCAATATTGAATACGATCCAACTTACAAGTGCCTCACCTTAATTTAACTTCACATACAATGAAATACGACGGCAAAACACTACTTCTACAAAACACTTATTTATTTTTTAAACTCATTGCTTTCATGATTGGTTTTAAAATATTAATTTTAATGACGCAGAAACCCATTAATTTTGTACAAAACCCCTTGTGAATAAGTTCTCCAAATCTTCATGATAAATACTAACGGCTTCAAAATACCGAGTGGTGGATATCTTTAAGAATACTTCAATTCAAACTTTACTTTAAAAAAGTCTCTACTCCAACACAATACAATTCTTCTCAAAGGGATTCAACCTCGAAGATGAAACAAATACCTCATATACAAAAATTTCCCTCCTGCAGGTGGCGATTTTGCTATTAAAATTAAACCAAGTCCTTGAAAGACCCGCTGAAATGCCGGAATTTGATGGACTGAACATGACTGTTTCATATTTTTCCAAGTAATTTACTGTTTTATTTTCATTATTTTTTTAATAATTTATTTAATAATGATGAAACGCGTCCTTACTAAAACTATTTATATAAAATCTGATTACACGAAGAGAACCCTTTCCAATAAGACCAATTTCGTCGTAATAGGATAACCTAAAAGGAAGTTACATTCAACTCCTTAAAGAGACGTTCCCCTTCCTCCACATATTTTATGAGCTAGAGTAATATTTGCTGCATAATAACGACGGAAAATTCATACAAGATTACGATGTATGTATTTATTATGCATGTTTGTTGGGGATATTTTAGGAAAAAAAAACATTTTTCTGCTTAACCATGAATCGTAAGCCCTCTAACGGCAAACCTAGAAACTTGAAATTAATCTCCAGCGATTTCTCTTGGCCGCTTTTGTTAACAAAATCTTTTGCCCCAAGCTGGGCAATTAACGGTTCCATAGATATGGCATATGACCTTTATTAATAGGACACCCTGTACATCGTACAGGGTGGCATTTGAAAATGTGTCATTGCACCTGGTTAGAGATAATAATAATAATAATGTTTATTGACCGACAGATATAAATACATCCAATTACAGGTCAATTACTATTAAAGCTAAACGTAAGGCGCATTATAGGTATATAAGAAAAAGAAAAAAAAAGATTATAGTAAGTAGAATTTATAGAAAAATGATTAAAAAGAAAATTTTAAGTATATAAATTAAGAAATTACAAATCAAGTACTTTATTCGTGCCTAAGAGTTAATAAGATACTATCTAGAGGTGAGAAGTGGATGTCGCACATATTTGATATTCTATTGAAATTTGCACACATAAAATGAATAGGAGAAGCAGCCAATATGTTTGTGTTCGGTTTAGAGCAATAAAATTTGATCGAAGGTATCCAAAAGGAAGATTGAAATAGTTTAAATGGGGTTAAGAGAAGACTGGGAAGATTTTAATATTAGATCTAAAGGAAACTACGAAAAAAAAGAATCTCCGCCTCAGAAAGAGAAATTACAACTAATAATCAGGTGAAAGAAGTAGATAATATGAACTGACGAAACAAAAACGATATTATGATTGAAAGAAAATGAAAAATATAATGAAATTTATGCAAGAGACATGCTGATGATAAGAAAAAATGTAACCTGAGAAAAGAGTTTTAATATTTCAAAAAAAGAATTAAAGATAAATTAGAAAATTACTTCGAAAGGAGGAAAAAATTAAAGAAAGAGGAAACTGTGATATTGATGGAAGGGAATGGATGAATTTAAGAAAATTCTGGCAAGGGAAGTTTAAGTAGGTTAGATTAGGTTAAGGGTGGATAGATAGGTAAGAATTACTTGATACCGGAAACGATATATCCGCTACAAGACAATAATTACCTAATGAAAAATTGGAATATGACTTCGGGAAGTAAGTGGAGACTAATGGCTGTAAATTGAAATGGAAAATAAGAAGATTATGAGAATGACAGTATAAGAAAGCTAATGAAGAATTTTAACAAGGGAGATTGGCAGGAAAATCTTGGTTTAATTTTTGACTCCCAATTACGATTCAGAAAGCATATTATCTCAAATAATTAACAAAGCGTTTACAAATGTTTAAACTAATATTTAATAGTCGATTTCTTATTAATCGCTTTGTTAATCCTTAGTGCTTTCCCAATTTAACTATTGTGATAGTATGTATGGCCCATGTATCGACAAAAGAGAATTCTTGCCTTAGACTTAGACTAATATTTCGTATCCGAAAATACGACCAGATCACACATAAATTAAAATCCCTCCGGTGGTTAGATATGAACAACAGAAGAATATTACATTGTGCCTGTTCGTTCCATGGCATACTTCGAACCAAAACTCCGTCATATTTATTTGAAAGGGTAACATACAGAGCTGCCGTCTATAACGTCGAGATCGCTTTTTAATAACTATACCTACTCACAAAACGTCACTATTTAAACGCTCCTTTAGTTCCAATATTGCAAAGACGTATAATGAATTAACATCTATCCGAAAGTCTTTTTAAAAAACACTTGCGCCGCGTACTCCTTGCACGATTTTTTAAGTTTTCATTTGTGCATTCATACCGAATGGTTTACTAATGGTTTATTATCGCATAACTTGCTTCTTTCTCTTTGTTTTTAAGAGTATAGGGTTTTTTGGTCATGGTCTCTTGTTGTTAATTGTATAGGTAGGGGGTTGAGTGGTAGAGCAGACGGAATAACACGTTTATTCCAGTCTGAACTTCGCCCCATTGAATCACCCATTATACATATAATGTAATGTAATATCTGTTCTTTGTATAATGTGTCTCAATAAATGTCATTATTATTATTATATATAAGAAGTTTTAATATTAAGTACGCCTTTTTTCTCTCAGTTCGCTCACCGTTTCTATGAGACGCTTGGGAATTTGCAAAAGTTACTAGTTTCCATTTATCGGGGCACGGGACTGGAGCGAAATCTCATATTTGCTATCAAAAGTCAGAAGATTGGAGGACAGTGTCAGTAATGGTGGTGGATGGTGATCTGGTGGATAACTTTTAAGGTGAGTACATCTGCTTCCGTAGGATGAATCGCCGGCCCTTAGTATGGTAAATGCTTAACGGTTTGTTCACAGATTTTCAAAATGAGGAAACTTATCTACTTATTAAAGTTTTAAAAAAAATAGAGCACACAAACATTTTACAATCAGTACCGGACTTGCTAACCTTCAGAATCTATAATTTTTTTATATTCTTGGACACCCCCACCAACCCTACATAGTCAATTTAATTTTGTAAAGCGGTAAACAGTTTTGCTTTACATCCAACGTGTGGAAACCTGTTTCAAGGACAAAATGACCGTAAAAGTCAAAAGTTTCTATATTCTTATTTTAAAATGTCAACATTCCTTTTTCGCCCCAATTTATTTCAACAAACATAATTAATAAAGTTCTCAGTATTAAATTCGCTTCCTTTTCGTCTTCCGATTTTCCAAATGGTTTGTTCTTGATGTATTCCACAAATTTAAAAGATTCCCCCTCTTTATTAATCACTGCTGAATATATATTGGCCTTTCCTTACATAAATTAAACATCAAGTAAATTAAGCGAATTGGTGAAAATTTAATCAGCAGAATAAACATTCAAACGGATTCATTATTATTAAATAATTTGCTTTCATTTCACCTTTATCTGATCGCTGCCGACAACGAAACAAACAACAAAATAATTCTGTTGTGTGCATTTCACTTAATTTAAGAAATCCGAGATCTGAGTACCATGGGAATTTAGCTTAAGGAAACAGGTGGAAGGAATAATGGAGAGCATTTTCTAACAATTCACCTTGTTAATCACGGCTGTTTCATCTTTGCTATTAAGCTCTAAGGACAATTTATGGGTGTAAATTATGGTCCGTAAAGATTCATTTCGTTCTCTGTTACCGCGCGTAATTCAAATTAATTCATAATGAAAACAGTTCGCAGCTGCTGTGCAGTTAATTGACAGAAAGAACAATGCGCCAAATTCAATCGGCGGTAACCAGAAATCTAATTATTATATTGTGAACACAAACTTCTAAGTGTAAAGTTGCGCGAAATATTTATTGCTCGTTCCATTAGATAGAAAAGGTGCAAAATTGGATTTATTACTTACGTATTGAGGTTGCATTCACTCTTTTGATGGAAGGACAGACACGCCAAAGTCCAATTCGAAAAGTGATAACAGTTGTGACGTCCGAGTTTGGCAAAGTTATCGGTTCCTTGGTGTAAAGCCAGGAGCCACTCACGAAAGCAATGAGAAGGGTGGCCAAAGCCAGTAACCCCCAAAGGACAGCGAGGCGCGACAAAGCTCCACGGGAGTTACAACACATCACCACAAACTCAGATTTATCAGATTTGAAAACTTTTTATAACATTTTTGTCAATCGTTTTTCACACTTCGTTCCTTATCTATCGATCTCCTTCCTCTTCTTTTATTAGAAAGTTACACTGTATCCGCAGGTCATTGTTCTATCGCATTCTCGACTTGGGTTCGTCCTTTCCGAAACCTGTAATTAAATTGACTTAGTTAGCGACAATTTTATTAAGAGACACAATTAGCTTTATTCCCTTGGGGTTTGTTAACCAATATTTTATCTACAAATAATTTGGTTCGTTACAAATTGTATCTTAAACAGTTGCGAATTCGGTATGTACCCCGTTTCGATAATTTCCAGATGGTGTACGCTCACAGTTCGCAACTTTCCACCCTCGCATTACGGTGCACGTATGTGCATAAGTAAAACAAGGAAAGTTGTACCATCAAAATTAAAGCATTAACCCTGTTTTGTCTAAAAAGCAATACGCTTGACAAGTTTTTGCGAGGAATTATGGACTCTGCTCAATTCGTGAGTATTTTATTGCTAGTTTATGTACAGAAAAATGTTTCGGCTACTGGCAATTTCTTAAAAGAGTTTTTCTACCCCGTAAGGCTTGATTATTATTCCAGATGTTATAAAAAGTAACCAAAAAATAGATTCATTTTGCGATTAATTATTTTTGAGCCATATGGAGAAGATATATGGACGTGATGTAGAGACATTCATCATTCTTTAATACAAAGGTTTTACTCAAAGCATGAGTTGGAATGACAAATAATTGACAGCGCGCGACTTAATTTTCATTAATAATAAAGCACATAGACAAATCTGTAACTGCTAACTTTAATTTATTAAGTCCGTCCCTGAACAACGCTCCTATCTGTTGCATTTATTCGTATGAGACCACGCGCAGATTTATATAGGATTATAGCTACTTTTCTTTACACTTGTGCTGACAAAATTTATACTTCTTTTGCTCTCTTCACAGAGTTTGCATCATTTGTGTGTGTCCGGACCATTGGTTTCCCTGGAAACATCAGACATCTCTAATTCAATTAATCAATGTTAATTGAAAAGAATTTACCTTGTATAGTGAATTATTCCGATTGTGGATTCCCACTGAATATATCAGCAAATGCTTATAACTGTACATTTCTTCATATTTGCCCTATAAACTGGTACGCTTGATTACAACCCTAACGCTTTCTTTGCACATTAAATATCAACCATTAGACATGCTAGAAACGTACATTTTTCGCCTTTATTGCTTTAGTCTCATAACCGAATTCTGTTTATGCCCCAGGTCATAAATTATTAGTTTGTTTTGTAAAAAAAATAGTTTATTCGGAAAAAGGACACGTTCGCATATTGCTAAGAAAGAGGGTCTATCATAAATGGGCACCATAAAAAACTATCGTCGGCGAAGTTACAAAGCGCGTACGCATTCGTTATGTTAAAATTCCAGCTAAAGTTAAAGATTCTTACTGCTTAATTATTATTTATTTATTTATTTATTTATTTATTAAATATAAATAAATAAATAAATTAATTAATTACTTTAGGAAAACCTAGAAGGTGCCTAAAAATGGGTTAGTTTTTCTCAACTTTTACATAGAGCAAAGCATAAAAAATACAGATTCGGGTTCGGTGCAGTTCTCCGATGTTCTCCCCGGCGGTCCCATTTAGATGAGTTAATAAATGCAACGCCGGTTCTCAGATATCACACCAAATAATACAGCTGGAGCGAAAGAGAAAACAAAAAACCCAGGGTTCAAGAGACGGTTATCGAGCCTTTAAAATTGATCGTCAAGAATTTGTCGAAAATATACTGAAAAACGAGCTGTTCAAATGGCTCCGTTAACTTAGCACCACCATTTCAAATTTCTGACTAAAGACAGATTGCGCTAGAATCTCTATGGATAGCGCCAGCTAGCGCCACTTTGAGTTCAGCTAGCGCCATTATAGATTTTGCAGAAAAGCCCTTGACTTTCGGGGGGTGCTATGTTAACGCTAGGACCACCATTGCGTACGATCATTTCCAAAAGCAAGCGCTGTGTTCGTCAGACCTAGCGCCAGCTAGCGCCACAAATTGTAGAGCTAGCGCCACCCCCCAATAGTGAGGGGAGCAATTTTTCCTAGCACTACCATTTTGTCTTTTTATGTAAAATTTTGACGTTTTGTGTTCTGCTGACCTAGCGCCAGCTAGCGCCACTTTGAGTTCAACTCGTGCCATTATAGGTTTTGCAAAAAAGCCTTTGACTTTCGGGGGGTGCTATATTAACGTTAGCACCACCATTGCGTACGATCATTTCCAAAAGCAAGCGCTGTGTTCGTCAGACCTAGCGCCAGCTAACGCCACAAATTTTAGAGCTAGCGCCACCCCCCAATAGGGTGAGGGGCAATTTTTCCTAGCACCACCATTTTGTCTTTTCGGGTAAAATTTTTACGTTTGGTGCTCTGCTGACCTAGCGCCGGCTAGCGCCACTAATTTTAGAGCTAGTTTTATAATTTTGCGGTGTCTGTCCGTCTGTCCGTTAGAACGATATCTTGATAACGAATTGACCGATTACGATGAAATGGATGGATTCTTTATCAAATTTGTAGATCGGAGTTGGTGAATTGGCAATATAGCCCAAAAAATAAGGAAGGTCCGTTTGACGTCTCTGTGAGTTATGAACCGAATTGTATGAAATTCAATATGCGTATAGCTTTAGCCATATAAAACGCAATTTCAAAAGTTGAGCCTAATCGATCAACATTCACAGTGCCCTTTTCGCATCTCGACCATTTACAAACTGGAATGAAAACTTTCTTATTTATGGAAGCATTTAAAAGAAATTTGATACATAGCAACTTGGAATAAAAGCAAATTTAACGCCAGTTTCAAAATTTGGTTTTGTGCATGTTGTGCGGTGCCAATTTTCTTATTTATGAAAGCAATTAAATGAAATTTCATACATTATACACTTTAAATAAAAGCAAAACTACCACCAAGTTCAAAATTTGGTTTTGCACATGCTGTAGCCATATCCAGGAGCTCGTTTTCTATATTTATTTACACGTCGATGCGAAAAGGGCACTGTGACTGTTGATAGATTAGGCTCAACTTTTGGAATTGCGTTTTATATAGCTAAAGCTATACGCATATTGAATTTCATGCAATTCGGTTCAAAACTCACGCAGATGTCAAAAGGGCCTTCCTTATTTTTTGCGCTATATTTCCAATTCACGAACTTCGATCTACAAATTTGATAAAGAATCCAACTACAACATTTCATCGTAATCGATCCATTCGTTATCGGGATATTGTGGTAACGGACAGACGGACAGACACCGCATCTGGGATTGTCAAACTCTTTACCATTTTTAAACCCGAATGTGCAAATCTGTCCCTCTTAGGATCGGAAATAATAAACAAATTATTTTAATTTGAAATCCTTTACTTTTTGGATTGATCGTTCTGTTTAAAGTACAAAAGTTCCAATAAAAATACTAAAATTTGTATGTAAAGTAGCAAGATTGTAAATATGAACATCCCTTCATTTCAAAGTAAACAGACGGTGAGGTATGCAGGTACAAACTTACTTAAATCCTTTATGAATGCGCAAAAATTGTAAATTATTTGTCACATCAAGGGTTTACAGGCGCGTCAATTGTGTAAAGTTTGGTATATCTGTATTGTTAAAAACAACACCTTTAGATAGTAGTCGACGCGACGTACATAGGTATATAATTTATCGGGAGCAAATATACAAGAGCTTGATTTTTAATCGGATAATTTTATTCCTACACGAAAGTTTTGTTGCCACCGAAAAAACTCGAGACCAAAAGTGTGATAAAATCGCGACAGTTTTAGCTGGAGCGATTTTATTAATATTATCCTTTTCGAGAGTTTTTTCCAGGAGGCAATAAAATTTGAGTGAATTAAAAATAAAATTATCCTGACTTAAAACCAAGATCGAGTGTATTTTAGGGAGATTAATAAAAGACAGTAAATTTTACAACCACTACATATTTTACGCATTCCTACACGCATTTTTATCGCTGTTAAAAAGCTACGTGGCGTTTAATCAAATAAAAAATCATCTGATTGGTTAGAATTTGAAACAATCACCAAGCTGATTGGTCGTATATTAATGGAGTGTATTAATCATATGAAATACATATGCCTTATGGTTATTATTAATTTGCACATTACACATAAGTATATAAGAATCTGCTTCTTTGTTTTTTAGCAGAATTAACAAATAAATATGCTGATTGATGCGAATACTTTCAAAGGTATTCAAATACTTTCAAAAATATTCTAATACTACCAAAGATATTCGAATACTATAAAAAGTATTCGAATACTTGTCACTCAAATACATTAAAAATTTAAAATAGTACTTGATAAAAGTCTTAATAATACTTAAAAAATGTCAAGTTATACTTTGTATAGAGGCAACATGGAAGAACAGCGTTTTATGCACTGAATGTAGTCCCTTTCCCTGAGCTGAGGTTAGCTTTTTTTATATTTCTATTGTTATATACAAATTTAAGGGGAGTAAAAGCGTATTATTGTTATTATAGTATGAGCAAGACAGTGATTTTATGCAAATGCATGTTTTAAATTAATAATATGCCATGCGTGTGCTTTTGGATCTGGGCTGATCAACTTGAATAGAGTTCAAATAACCCAATTAATTTTTGCATATTTCAGTGCCCTTGTGCATAAAATATTATCAAGAGCATATTCAAGCATTTTTGATCCCTGTGTAGTTATTTCTAAAGAATTTTTGTCTCTGGCCTATTATAAAATTGCAAAGCAGGAAACTTTTGCGCTTTCCTGTTCATAAGTCGACGCCACCGGTTTTGTGCATCTTAGTGAGTCATAAATTCCGACGATTGCATAAAAAGCTTGCAGTTTTTACGTCTGCATTTGTAGTCGCTGCCGTAATTATTAGTTTTACGAAGCAGTACCTACTTAGTAGCATTTTCCTTCTCGTTGTTATCAAAGGGTAGTGTAAGTTGAAATTAATTAGTTTTTAGTTATATTTTGTGCATTTTTTTTTTGAAAATTATACTATGAAGTTGTTGCAACCTGCTGTTTTAAATACAAAATTTGTGGAAAAATTGTGCAAAAGCACATGATGCATATTTGGTGCATAATTATCACTATTTTTGTGCATATATATGCGCATATTTCT